TTCAGGCAATAGCAATGACCCAACACCGAAAAATATTGGTATATATGCATGTTTTAAAACTTAGATGATGTTATTTTAACGCTGATTGCTGTTGAAATATATTCAAATGATCGAGAGAAGTCAATTGGTGATATTTTCTACCGAAGCAATCATCAAAATAATGACAATTCCATCATATTTTGACCTGAAAGAAACTTATGCCCTCACTTAAAGTTGATGATAAAGATATAAGTGCATATTTATGAATCTTTCGAACGCAAACGACAGACATAACTTAAACCGAATACTTGAACGGTATAAGTGTGAACAATGCTTTCGCAATTTGATTAATAATAATTCCAATTCGCAAAAGAAGATGTTAATGAGTGCCGTTTGAAAATTGCACTTAGTAATTAGTAGTAAGAGTAATGGAATCGCATGTAAAAAATTAAGGGTATAATCAGATTAAAATCTGATTATACCCTTAATTGTTTTACATGGAATGATACTATATAGTTCAGAGGATGTACAGATAACTAAAAATATCAGTCGTTAAAAGAACTTACAAGGCTGAAAGGACTAGCTAGGAATAAAATATAGAGCAGCAGCAGTCATCATTATGTGGTGAGAGATGATAAAGTGAGTTGATGTTATTTTCGTTTTATTTACGATTAATCATGATTTTTACTGTAGAAATAAATAGATAGTCATTTAGAAATAAAGAATTAATTTATGAAAAAGAGAACATGAGCAAACACGGTCATTTTTAATAGGGTAGTTACAGATTTCCTTGAAACAACATAGATTTGAAGGTAGCAATAAACTTTTGACAACTTTCAGTTGCGGCCCAATCGATTTTTAATTGCCAGTACCGCCCATGTCTCAAAAAAATCCTAGCTACGTCACTGATCGTTATATAATTATTATATGTTCATAGAAAATATAGACTCTCAAAAATACAAAGCAAAAAGATAAATGTCTATATAGAACTATTTTGATGCAAAAAAAAGAGCATTAGAGAGAACTATATTGTTTCTATAGAATAATCTTTCAGTATAGAAAAACTTATTCTGAGGAATTTCTAGAAATAGAAAGAATGATCTATTCAAAGAATTTTACCTCGATCCTTTCGAAATTATTTCATATATACTAGCTGGTAATCTCAACTTTGGTAGAAGATAAAAATGTCGAAAGTAAAAATGTCGGAGTATAAAAATGTCGATAGCTAATATGTCGAAAAGTGAATATATATGGAATGAACAATAAAGAAAAATCGTTTGTGACATTTTTTGGGGTAATAATAATCGGCCGAAGTGAACGCCGAAGACCGAAGTAACCGAATGCGCTGATTGGATATTTTAAATATATACATCCAACGCTTTAAAAGCGCCAATATCTAATTAGATGGTGTCCTTATATTATATATTAAAATGTCAGGAATAGAAATCAGTAGATGAGCAAGAATATTTCTGAAATACATTTGCATAAAATATTCTTTCAGATTGTAGATTGAACGTTATGTTAGATTCTGTTAAATATTGAAACATCTTATATTTCTGCATCCGAGAACATTAAACGGTTTTTTATGAAAAAATATAATTCTATGAATCTATTTTAAACTAATATATTATCGCTTATTTGTGTCAAATTCTCTCATTTAAAAAAAGATCCATTCATATCCAGTTTGATGAGTCAGGAATTACTCTAAATTTATCATTTTGTTTTCAACAAAAATTGATGATGCTTAACAA